ATTGATAGGAAAATCTGTAGCTGGCAATGCATAATGACCATTAAAGTTGATATGTGGGAAAACTGAAGAGCAGGTGTAAGATCCAAAGCTGGCCATATGCTAAAACTTGAAGCTCTGCAAGCCCCATCAATGTATACATCATATATTGTTATGATCTTATTACTTTTATTTTAGAAGTTTGAAAAAAAAAATAAAAAAAAAAATCATATTGATTTCTTTGATAATTAAGTTTTGCTTAAATTCGGCTATTTATCATTCTGCGACCGTTCTCAATCAAAATGTGTGTTGGTTCATGGTATCAAGTTTCCTTTCATCACTGGTACTATTTGTTAGTGGACATATACACCACATAAACATTTAAGACGTAGTTTATGTTTGGTAGACAAATAAGTTAGTTTACAATTTATTTGGTGAGCTTATAAATTTCCAGTATTCAAATAATTCTTGTTTGGTAGGTCGAATTTATTTGATAAGCTTGTTTAGGTAGCTTTTCAAAGCTAGTTGAATTTTTTATTCCATCTAGCTTATCAGCTAATTTTATCAAACACTTTTATCGTATAAGTTAGCTTTTCAACTATAAGCTCCAAAATTACAGATAGGCTATAAGCTAGTTTATCATCTAGTTTTACCAAACTTAACCGTAGTGAAGTATGTTAATTTTCTACCACATTAATTAGTGGACATGTGAACTAAGTTTTGCCCTGGTTCATTGGGCCTTGGTTGACTAGACCGGACTAAGTTTCACCGAGGATGATTGGGCCTTAGTTAATTAGACCAGTGGGAATCATAACATTTTCATGAACAAATGACTGAATTCGGGACTAAAGGATGTTACATTACCAATTTGAAGTACCTATAACAATAATGCCTATGTTGATAAATCAATTTCTAAGTCTTGTGAGGCCAAATCCGAGCTCAATGATCCGGGTAGGCATAATGTTTAGCCAATCATTCTTTTCTCAACAAACATGCATACATACGTTTAATTTTAGAAAAAAAAAAAAACATTAACAAAAGTATGAAATTTCATAATATAAGGATACATTTTATTACCAAATATTAAATATCGATTGATTAATAGTTAGATTGCCTCACATTAAGAAATTCTGTTAATTTTTTCTAATAGAAATTATTTGTGAATATTTTGTAATAAATATCAGTGATAAACCACGAAAATGATAATTTTACTTTATATTGGATAATTTAAAAACAAATTATTCTTATTTTTATGTATAATTAAAGTGTATATATGTATTTGCAACAAAAAAAAAAGTGTATATATGTAATTTTAATTTCTTTTTAAAGCTCGGGCCTTGTCGAATTTTTATGATTAATCGTCATAAATAGTTGATCTAACGATATAAATCTTGATGGAATGGTCCCGTAAAATCCCCAGAAAGATCACAAAAGGCCCAGACTATACCAAGAAAGGTAAAAAAAAAAAAAGAGAGAAATAAGTATATAGTCTAGTAGCTTCTACCTCAACCTTCGAAATTCCAGGCTTTTCTCCTCGCTTATTAAAACCGAACCTCTTCGCGATATCGCCATTAACACTGTAATTCAATTCAAGACTCAGCGCGCTCTTTGGGAAAACCCACGAACTCCTTCGCAACTCAGAAAATCTTGTTGATATTCTACGAAACCCATTGTATTTCTTGACCCGCTTCCCTCGCTGTCTGTTCATAAAAGGTATGCCTTTTGTATGTGTGTTGTAAAGTGTGTTTCTTTTGTGTTTCATAAGGTTTTTTTTTGTATATAATTATCTACTCGAATTCGAAGATTGTGGTTGGTACGGATACTTTTGTTTATGTTCTTTTTCTGGCTTTTCTTGTTGTGTTTTGAAGGTTAAAACAGGGTAACATGGTCGGTTTATCTTCTCTGTATATACTTTCTTGAAATATATGGATGATAAGTAACTGGGTTGATGAAAGTTTCGCCTTTTCTTGGCAGTTTTAGTCGATTGTTTATGTGATCTCTGTTTTTGTGCTTTTTTTTTGTTAGAAGAGATGAATGCTTGTTTGTGGCGTTCTCGTTTTGGTTATCATATGATGATTTATACCCTGGGATTCTGGGTTTTCTTGTCGATTGTTGACGTTTAGAATCTTCATTTTACGTCTATGTTGTAATAATATAAATAATTTGCATTGAGGGTGAGAAGTCGTTCTTGAGCATCCGCCATGAAAATCGGCGTTATTTCATTCAATGATCTTGAAATTATTCAAATTTTCGTTGCTTTAAAAGTGACATCTTTTTTTGTAGTATCAACCAGTTTTCTCCATAGTTCCTTAAATTAATTTTGAGTAGCCACTTAGCTGATTATAATTTTTTTTTTTTTAATGTTCAAGAATCCATCTTAACACTAGTTTCCTCTCTTAAATCCGACTGTTACTGAATATCTTCTCACAGAAATCCCTCTTGAGTAAAGAACTCCGATTTTCCAGTCATGAATCCCGAGAAGTTCACCCACAAAACGAACGAAGCCATTGCAACAGCCAACGAGCTGGCAATGTCGGCCGGCCACGCACAGTTCACCCCTATCCACTTTGCAGCTGCCCTTATCTCCGACCCCAACGGCATTTTCCGGCAGGCGGTCACCGGAGCCGGCGGCGAAGAGGCGGCTGCCTCCCTGGAACGCCTCATCAACAAAGCCCTCAAGAAGCTCCCCTCCCAAACCCCTCCTCCCGATGAGATCCCGGCCAGCACTTCCCTTATAAAAGTTATCCGCCGTGCGCAGTCCCATCAGAAGTCCCGTGGAGACTCGCACCTCGCCGTGGACCAGCTCATCCTCGGCCTTCTAGAAGATTCTCAAATCCAAGACTTGCTGAACGAGGCTGGCGTGACTGTCTCTAAGGTTAAATCGGAGGTCGAGAAGCTGAGGGGCAAAGATGGAAAGAAAGTTGAAAGTGCCACGGGTGACTCTACTTTCCAAGCTCTGAAAACCTATGGCCGTGATTTAGTCGAGCATGCCGGAAAGCTTGACCCGGTGATCGGTCGGGACGAGGAGATCCGGCGAGTGGTCAGAATTTTATCGAGAAGGACTAAGAACAACCCCGTTCTTATAGGCGAGCCGGGAGTTGGAAAAACGGCAGTTGTCGAGGGTTTAGCTCAGAGGATAGTTAATAAAGATGTCCCGAGCAATTTGGCTGATGTTCGGCTGATAGCCCTGGACATGGGAGCATTGATTGCGGGCGCCAAGTACAGAGGGGAGTTT